AGAGAGAGTGGGGGATGATAGCCTCGGGTTGAAGCTAAATGCAGGCTGCTGTATTTTGCTTCCTGCCTCATGGTCACCTGCTCACTCTGGGAGCTACACTGACATCTGGCATCAGAGCCACAGACCACAGGAGGTCTCGCTACCAAATTAATAACCTTCCCTTTCACTCTTGTTACCATCCTGTACTATCCGCTACTACCACAAATCACCCTGACACTTATCTCCACTCACTCCAACCTGCCTGCACTCTCCTTCACTTCTGTTGCTTTGGATGGTTGAACCCAGGTATTAAAACCAGTCCACCTACAGCTGTCTACTTCTCATTCACACACATGTATTCTTTCTTGCTTCTACTAACTTTCATTCCTCTTCTCTCCAGTGCAAACCTTCAACTATCCAGCTTCCCCTTCTTTTTGCTCCCTACTCTCACTCATCTGTGAGCATCATAGTCCACGGAGACTCCTGTGTGATCTCATTTATAAGCATGTCCATCACCATCGCAAACAAGAAGGGGTTCAGATCCCATAACGGATGAAATCCCACCACCAGCTTGAACCTGTCTGTCACTCTCCATCACCGTTTCTCTCCTGATACGAGTCCTGCACCACTCTCTCTTATTTTTGCCCACATCTATAGAATTAAAGAGGATCCATACTCATCCTGCCATCACTATATAAACTCTTATCTGATGCTACTGCAATGACTTATTTGCTTTCATTCCTGCTTGCACATTTATGTTTATTCAGTGTTGGATTTAAAGGCTTATGTTTTGTTGTATCCATCTATGTATGCTCCTTGTTTTTGCTTTGAATGCTTTTATCTCTGTTCTTTGTTTGACAAATCAGCAACGCCTATGATAATGTCATGTCCATGTCAATGATGTTCAGTGCCGCTTAAAGTCAAGGAATAAAGACAGTTAAGATTTATGTTACATACTGCATCGTGTGCATGAATACTGCCATCTCTGACACAACAGTTTCAGGGAAGTCAAGCTACCTTCCACGGAATTGGAGTGGCGGAGTAAGGTGCCAGACTCAGGTAGATGTGTAAATAAGTAATGAACATCTGTCTCAGGACAGGGTGTCTCTTATCCTAATTTTCCAAGAAGACGACGTTTGCACAATAAATTTTGTTCCCTTTGCACCTACATTTTTTTTTTTAATAGATAGCAATAACAAAATTTGGTAACAAACTTTTATAGTTAGATCACTTAAATCCTTAACCGCCCATAACTAGCGTTGTTTTTATTAGTGTCTGACCTGATAATGATAAACGCTATAGTAGACATAATACAAGCGCTACAACCTTAAAACTGAGCAGTCATAAATACTCTCGCCCCATAGAGAAGAGTCACTCTTGAACTGCTTGATTCCAAAAGAAACATTTCTCAGTTCCCAGGATTCCCACTTACCTTGCTGCAGGTGAACTCAGGTGTGTCTTGGTCAAAAATCTCCAGCGCGCCTGCCGACACGAACAGCCAGAAACACAGCGATAACAGCAAGGAGACCACGTGTGGCACCCACCGGCGTGTGAGACCCATCTTTTTGGAGTGCGCCTGGCACAAGCCCTTTCACTCCGACGCACGTCTCTTACTCCACGGCTACGCTCCCCTCCTCACGGGACACATAAAAATCAGAGCTTCTTATACTTAAAACACCGAGCTCGGCAGGACGAGAAAATCGCGATCATGTCTAGCTCAACAGTAGCGACGCGTCGTGAGGCTCCTGGGATTTTGTTTCACCGCCCTTCCTGATAACTGTATAATCTGGAGTTGGGCGTGTAGCTGCGCTACCTGCGCAGGTTGGATAGGAGGAGGGGGCAAAGCTGTCAGCTGCAACGTGAGTTTCTGCAGGGCTGGTGAATCATTTAGCAACATAAACATAAAGCGGCACGCACACCAAATTATAAAAACAAACCTGCTTGGCAACATGACTCACACTGATTGTTGTGAAGAGAGAAAGTCAAGAAGTAACGAGAAGCTGATCAGAACA